TGTGTGCTTCATGCTTGCTTTTTGTTGTAGGCAAGTAGCCTGCAAAAAAAAGCAAGTCAAGAAAGATTTTTAAAAAGGAAGGTACGCACAAATATCATTATGACTATTATGTTAATAATTTTGGTTGGTTTACTGGACTTTGCACTGTATTTATATTCTGTTCATGCTCTTGTGCCCAATTCACATTAAATTTCTGGAGCAGTTGACAATGTATACATTTGATCTTACAATGTTAATATTCATGAAAGAGTAAATCAATAGTTTACTTCAGTTTTTATTTTTTGCAGCTGCAAAACACAGTCAGCAAAGAGAACCAGTTCAGTTAAAATGAAAGAAAAACCATGTAATCCATTGGGATTTTTTTATTTAATTATCGCCATGGCCAGTTTTTCTGAATTTGATGGGCCAAAGGTAGCACAGGCTGCTCCCTCTGTCCCAGACAGTGGCAAGAAAGAAGAAGGTTACTTCTACAATTAAAGGACTGTTGAATCTTTGTACTCAGTCTTGTTGAGAGGTATTTTTCTTACAGAAAATCAGAGTATTGTGGGAAACCACTTTTGTTTAGCTTGTCTGATATTTCCTTGCCCACTGCTCCTAGCAAGCAGGTGTTCTCTTCACATATGCATTGAAAGAGGAACAGTTGAGCAGCTTCCTGATGTTTTAACAGGGAAGCCAAGGTGACAGCAAGAATGCCAAGAAGAAAAATAATAAGAAAACAAACAAGAATAAGAGCAGCCTTAGCCGAGCCAACAAGAAGAAACCCTCCATGCCTAATGTGTCAAATGATTTGTCTCAGAAGTTGTATGCCACAATGGAGAAGCATAAAGAGGTACTATGGCCAAGCCCTCCTCATTTCCTTTTCTGCATTCACATGTGCAAAATTTAATGTTGCAAAAGAGAGAGGGAGGGAAGTAGACCACATTAAACAATGTGGTACCTTGGCAACTTGGCAGTTCTCATTGGTGGAGATTGTCTTGTGCTCACCTCTTCCTTTGCCTTCACACGGTAGGTCTTCTTTGTAATTCACCTGCACGCGGGACCTGTCATCAACACCTTACCCCCCATTGTGGATCCAGACCCATTACTTAGTTGTGATCTGATGGATGGCCGGGATGCCTTCCTTACTTTAGCAAGGGACAAGCACTGGGAGTTTTCCTCACTGCGGCGCTCCAAGTGGTCCACTCTATGCATGCTTGTGGAGCTGCACACCCAGGGGCAGGATCGCTTTGTTTATACCTGCAACGAGTGTAAACATCATGTGGAAACACGGTGGCATTGCACAGTCTGTGAAGTAAGTATATGTTGCCTGTTTTGATGCTACTCCAGTTGTGAATTGGCCTGCAAACCTGTCTCTTCTTTTCTACAATACTTTTAAAAATAATAGGATTATGATTAATATGATATATAATAACAACTGTGGGGCTAATTATTATGATTTGAGCATTAGTTTTACACATTGAACAAAGCCATATGTGGAAATTCTATAGGAATCCTATTTTCTGAGCAAGGATGTTCTGTATTAGTGGCCACTGGAGTTCTTCATTAAGTTCTTGATAATTGAATGACTTATTAATAGAACTAAAACTGTGACAGATGGAATGTCTCAGGTACATGGAGCTATCTTAGGCTTGTGTCTGGAGTGGTCTAAGGACCATTCAGCCTCTCCTGAGCATGCATGCGGTTCACCTGCATAAAAGAATAGGGAGAGTTTGTGAAGCTAGATTGAGCCTTTCTCACATTGTAGGTTGTTAATCTCAGTGTCTCTCACTTTGCTTTTCAGGATTACGACCTCTGCATTAATTGCTACAACACCAAGAGCCATGAGCATAAGATGCTGAAGTGGGGCTTGGGCCTGGATGATGACGGGAATAGCCAAGGGGAGCAGCAGTCTAAGAGCCCCCAGGAATCCCGTCGACTCAGCATCCAGCGATGCATTCAGTCTTTAGTGCATGCTTGCCAGTGCCGCAATGCAAATTGTTCATTGCCGTCCTGCCAGAAGATGAAGCGTGTTGTCCAGCACACCAAGGGCTGCAAGCGCAAGACCAACGGAGGCTGTCCTGTGTGCAAACAGCTGATTGCCCTTTGTTGCTACCATGCCAAACACTGCCAAGAGAACAAATGCCCAGTGCCCTTCTGCCCCAACATCAAGCATAAGCTCCGGCAGCAGCAGATCCAACACCGTCTGCAGCAGGCGCAGTTGATTCGCCGCAGGATGGCAACCATGACCACCCGAAACGTGCCTCAGCAGAATTTGCCTTCTCCTACCTCAGCAACGCCTGGGACCCCGACACAGCAGCCAAGCACCCCACAGACTCCCCAGCCCCCTCCCCAGCCTTCCCCTGTTAGCATGTCACCAGCTGGTTTTCCTAGTGTAGGAAGAACGCTGGCACCCCCTCCCATTTCAGCGGGCAAGCCTTCCACCCAGGTGGCTGCTCCGCCTCCGCCTGCCCAACCCCCACCAGGAGCTGTGGAAGCAGCCCGGCAGATTGAAATTGAAGCAGCCCAGCAGCAGCAGCAGCAGCAGCAGCAGCAGCAGCAGCAGCAGCAGCAGCTCTACCGGGTGAGCAGCAATGGCTTGCCTCCAGGCCGAACAGGGATAGTGAGCACAGCAGTGGGGACGATGAATCCAATGCAGCAGGTTGGCATGAATGTGCCCCGGCCTAACTCAGCCAGTGGCCCAATATTGCCTAACCTGCAGCCTGGGCAGTGGCAGTCATCAGCTCCGGTGCCCCCACAGCAGCCAGGAATGCCAAGGCCAGTCCTGCCCATGCCTGGCCAACAAGCAGTAACTGGCCCAAGGATGCCAGGCGTGCAGCCACCAGCCCGAACGATTCCTCCAAATGCTTTGCAAGAGTTACTGCGGACTCTGAAATCTCCTAGTTCCCCGCAGCAGCAACAACAGGTGCTGAATATCCTGAAGTCGAACCCACAGCTCATGGCAGCTTTTATAAAGCAGAGAACAGCCAAATACGTAGCAAACCAGCCTGGCATGCAACCCCAGCCAAGCATTCAACCCCAGGCAGGCATGCCACAGACTCCAAGTCCACTGCAGCAGCCGCCTCCACCAGCAGGGTTGCATGCTCAAACAGGCCTGCAGAATCTGAGTGCACTGCCAGCAGGTGTCCCACGACCGGGGGTCCCTCCCCAGCAACCAGCCATAGGAGGCCTGGCTACACAGGGCCAGTCAATCAGTATCATGAACCCAGCTCACAATCCAGCTATGGCCAACATGAGTCCTCAGTACAGGGAGATCTTGAGAAGACAATTACTACAGCAACAGCAGCAAGGAGGAGCTGGGCTGGCCACTCACAACCAATTCCCTCAGCCTCCAGGCCCCGGAGTTTATGCCCAAGCCATTCAGCAGCAGCGGATGCAGCAGCAGCATCTTTCAATCCAAGCAGGGGCCATGGGGCAGCTAGCGCAGATGGGACAGCTGAATCCTATGGGGCAGCCAGCCCTGGGAGCTGATGGCAGCCCTAACATCCAGCAAGCTCTGCAACAGCGACTCTTGCAACAACAGCAGCAGCAGCAACTTAAACCACAGATGGGCTCCCCAGGCCAATCAAATCCCATGAGCCCCCAACAGCATCTGCTCTCAGGACAGGCTCCCTCGTCTCACCTCCCTGGTCAACCAATCAGCACCTCCCTCAGCAGCCAGGTGCGCTCTCCGGCACCCATTCAGTCCCCACGGCCCCAGTCGCAGCCACCACATTCCAGCCCATCCCCCAGGATACAGCCCCAGCCTTCTCCTCACCATGCCTCACCCCAGACTGGCTCACCTCACCCTGGGTTGGCTGTTACAATGGCTGGCTCCATGGAACAGGGACACTTGGGCAACCCAGAGCAGAGTGCAATGCTTCCCCAGCTCAACCCCCCAAATAGGAACGTGTTACCAAATGAGCTGTCCCTGGTTGGTGATACCACAGGAGGTGACACACTAGAAAAATTTGTGGAGGGCTTGTAGCATCACATCAATTTTCTCATGTTCCTGGACTTCTTGAACTGAAAAAGACTTGTAGCTTGAGCTAAACCCTAGATGGGACTGATTCATCCTCTACTTGTGAATGGATGCTGTTTAAAAAAAAAGAGAATATATATTTTTTTGTTAAAGCCAGCCAGGTGTGGTTAAAATATCTGGTCTCCTTGTTGTGGGTTGTTTTTTTTTAGTTGTTATCGTTGACTTTACTTTTTTAAAGGGGAAAACGAGTCCATTATATTCATATTTTTATTTGTACTTTCAAAACTAAGCAGTGGTGTTTAGCAGAGGAGAAAAATATTCACATTCTAATGTATCTTGCTACATTTCTGACATTTGGCATAAAGTTTTGTTTTGTTTTAGTCTTATTCTATTCTGGATTTTGCAAGTATCCTAAGTATTATTACCCCTGGGAAAGATAGGAACTGACTCTTGCACACACGAACACACATTGCAGATGTAGAAATTGTTGCTTGTTTCTCTGATAAAACTGGTTTTAGATTTAAAAAAAATAGGGACACTCACTACTTTGGACATATTTTAACAGGGAAGAAGTGTATTCTGTAATTCTTCAATGTGAACTTGAACTGAGGAAAAGCAATTACAGTGTAAATCATGCAAACTATAATTACTATAAATATGAACAATTCAAGATTCAATCACTGTATAGAGGGGGGAACAAACTTATTTCTTACTTCTATAGTATATTGTTAAATAAACTGTGTGCAACAGACAAAAAGGATGTCCTTGAATTCATGTACATGGTATTAACTTAGTGTTTGGACTTTTTTGTTATGAAAATGCTGTTTTCAACATTGTATTTGGACTATGCATGTCTTTTTTCCATTGTATATAAAGTATTGCTTAAAAGTGATATAAATTACTGAAGTTTTTAAAATGTTTCTGTCTTTTAAAATCCATGTAAGATTGTCACAGTTTGTACTTGCCTGTGTGACTCTAGGGAGATGGATGCCTTTCAATGAACTCAAACCTAATAAGGAAGTAGTACTCTATAGAACTCTTTGAAGCACTAAAGAGCAATATATTCCCACTACTACTTGGCTGTACTAATTCATGAGAATCAACAGAAAGAAATTAGAAATGTTTGCTTTTTAAAAAGCATTTTGGGAAAGGAGCACCTGTTTAACTGAAACAGATGCTTCCTAAAGTAAAATAAAAAAAACCAAGGTTTTCTGTGCAGGAACAATGAAGAAGCTATACAACAGATCCAGAAAGGACAAGACAATGTCTTTCATTGATTTTCCCAGCCTGGTCCTATCTATGATGCTCCATGACTATACTATTTTTGAAGGAAGCAAAATTGGGCTTCTTACTCTGCCTCACTAAATGATCACTAGGAGATACATGATGGGTTTTGTCAGGTACCATAACTGATAAATGTATCTAATATATTACAATTTCAATGTAACTGAAAATACCACACAGAGGGTACACTGTACAGAGAAATCCACCCTTCCTCAGGTGAAGTGATGGTATGGAAGTCATGTAAAACCTCTTGCATAAGGGCATGACATAATTTTAACATTTATTTAATAAACATGGCTGCCCATCTTATATACATCACTCTGGGTAGCAACAGTTAAAAAAATTGCAATGTGGGACCAATGATACTTAAAAAAATGTTCACATTTAGTACATAAAATAATTTCTTGCTTTTTTTAATGGGGGGAGGTAAGAAATGAAATCAATTGTATAATTGAAGACTTGCATTACCATCTCCATATGCAAGTATTAACAGTGGCTCCAGTCCTCCAAAGTCTTTGAGAAGCAAGAATTTATAGTGTGTTCAGTAAAAATGCTGCCCTCTCACATCACATCATCTTGCTCTCTTCTTCCCAGTTTTGCACTGGGAGACAATTTTGTAATAAATTACTTGGGTGGTAGTCTCAGGTGACATAAACGTGAAAGTTATCTTTGCAAATGAAGGAGTATGTTTTTCCCTCCATCAGCCATCCATCAGGGTAAGGATATGCCGAAGATACTTCTAGGCCTCAACAGGTTGTCCCAACATGTATGCTGAAATCATTCCTCAGGATTGGATGCAAGGCTGAGAACAGCTGTTGCAAGTGACCAACTCTGACTTCAAACCCCAACACAGATTATTTCCCCCGAAAAAAGGATTGAGCAAAGAAAAATACATAATCATGAAAAAGGAGAAGAGGCAGGTGACTAGAAAGTTGCAGAGGAAAAAATCTCCAGGAGTTCACATTTTGGGAGAATATCCAAAGGGCTTAGCATCACCTTTGTCCCTTTCTCTTGGATGTATGGAGGTATTGTTTTTCTCTCCGAGCTTCTGCAGTGGTAAACGTGATGCAGTTTGCATCCAAAAAGTCCAGTAACTTGTCCAATGAAATCCTTATGCCATTTTGCTTCAGTTCTGCATGCAGTACAGAAAGTTCAATGGGCTGATACAGCAGAATTTGCTGGCAAAGAGATGGGTTGGAATGAATATAGTGCTTCAAGAATTCCAGTTGCTGACCCTCACCACTAGCGGCAATCTGAGAGGCTGGTACATTTTCCTCTTTCTCTGACAGCATGCTGATTTTAAACTTCACAGATGAACTAGGAACAGGATGAGAAAGGAAAGGGGATTAAGATACCTACACAATCTCTTAAATTTACTTGATTTTTTAAAAAGATGGGATACCTGGTATAACCCAGGCCAGAACTACTCACATCTACCACACAGCATCAACACAACCATCCCCCAATTTAAGGCTAAGTGTAGAGAATATGGCTGAGGATGGGGTGGGCAGGTGATTTTCAAAGTTTTTGCCTTCACGCCTCAGCATCTGGTGATACATGCCATCAGCCTAAAAAGTCAGAATGGAAAAATGAACACACATTCCAATCTGCCCTATACCTTTGAGATGCTGCATAAGTCTCATTTCCAGCTCCTGTTGTGCCAGCTGACACTTGAGAAGTTGTCAGGATTAGATCTCCATTGCCCTCTCCATCAGTTAATCTCTTTGCAGGAAAAGCAGCTCTCTTTGGCCACCCAAGTCCAGCCTCTGGCCTCTGAGCGCCTCCTTCAGAAAGATCTGTAAGGTTAGTTGTATTTGGGTTCCCCTGAAGCAGTCGATAAGGGGGAAGACATTTTTGCTGCAGTTTCTGAAAAGAACTGGTAGCAACTGGCATAGATTTTTTCTTACAGTCGGTTCCTGCCTGTTGGCGAGTAAATTGAAAAATTTCCTTCAGTTTTAAAACCATCTGCCGCTTTGGGAGAGCACGGACACCAAATCTAAGAAGAAAAGGAGATCAAATCACAATTCACAAGAACAACCTGTAAGATAATTTTGCAAGTTCTTGCCTACAGAAGGGTCCTGATTTGATCCTGACAGCACCCACCTGCTCAATTCCTTCTTCAACTCTGGGGTGTCCATACTTGAATAAGGTGGCAAGGGCATGAATGGAGAAATGCAAGAGATGTCCCTGGCTTGGCAGGCAAGATCTGTGACTGATCAAAAGGAAACTGAATCAAATCAGCCACATGGGCTATACTCTGCTGCAAAACATGTCTATCACCACTATATTTACTACATTGGTTAGTAGTCCACAGTAAAATCATCCCAAACCTCTGGGAAGAAAGCTGCCAGATAGACATCCCCATCATACACTTTTTTTAAATTAAAAAAATGCTCAGCAATTAATTAGAAAAGTGCTTTAGGAGGAGGAAGCCAAAACTGGATTTCTAGATTATTGCTCCCCTCCCAGAATCTACAGGAAATAGAGCTCATCCGAAATAACAGTTGGGCTCATCCATCCAAGAAGGAAGATCACTGTCTTTAGCAAAACTGAGTAAAATGCCCAATGATGTTTAACCAGTTGCAAGGATTCTGGTCTTGAACTTCAGTGGGATCGTTCACTGAGCTTCAAAGGACTCGACAGCTAAGTAAGTGGTAGGAAAAGTGCTCCCATTTTGGGGTGCCATGTTACAAAGCAGCCTTAGCTGTCAAAGAAGTTGTCATAACTGACCCAATGCAGCAACTTACCAGAAATCTTTGGAACAGGAATGGAAGCTGACAAACTTGAGCAGGCAGGAAGAGCTTCATTGCTGTCAGAGTCTTTTCCAGGCCAATTCTGAGAGTTGTGCAGTAGCAAATCTCCCACTCCAAAATGGAACATGGCTGCTGAATTAGCTACACTACTAGCAACATTCACAGGGTGATTGTCCTGCATGTCAAACATGTGCACAGAGGCCTTCAATGGATTTCTGGCATTTGGAGTTCTTACCTCCAAAGATTCTACAAAGATGCCCCTTGAGCATGGTGGCACTGCTTCCCGTTCCTCCTCACTGTCATCCACAACCACCACATCTCTCTCTGTTGCACACAGGCCATTGTTAGGTTTCACTATTTTGAGCAAAGTAGATGAAAGCACCGGTAGAGGTTTATAGCTGCAAGACAACGGTTCTGTCTGGGTTTCATGAGTCCACTGCTTTTTAAGGGAAGAATTCAACCTGGATTTTTCAACCTGCATGTCATCCAAGCTATTCCAGGCTGGCAGAGGAGTTTTAGGCACCACCAATGTCCTTCCTTCACTCCTGTCTAAACCTTCCCAGAAGCTGCCTTCTTTGTGACTACTCAGGTTCAAGGGCTGATGGCTTTCATCCAAAGATTGTACCTCATTACAAATTAGTGTGTCCAATCCATCTGCCACTTTACCTACATCCTGCTGGGGAGGAGATGGGCTCCAGCAGTTCACGTTGGCAACAGCGCTCACTTTATGCCATGATTGTTGCTCAGAGAAGCTTGAAGCGGCCTCTGCCTGTTTCTTTTCTGCCTCCTGTTCCAGCTCTTCATCAGAATCCAGTACTACAATATGGTCACTCGTAATATTCAGTTCATGAGGATTCACCGCACCAGACTTCTCTAGGTTGCCAATAGGAGCTTCTCCCTTCCTATTTACATTCTCTTGCTTGCCATTTTGATAGGGAAGCCTATCTAATATGTTTGGCTGTGATGCAGATGTTATCAAAGGAGCTTTTAGGTCTCTTGACAAAGTAATCTGGAGATCTTTTGCTGATGCTTGAAAAAGTCTTGGAAAATTTCTTGTTGTGGTTTCATTGTTGGCTATGTTAATATTCTGCTTCCAGAGAGAACATTTCATTTCTGAGACAGAAAATTGGGTTGCAGACCTCTCCAGATGATTATTATGAGTGGAATCCATATCTAATCCGAGATGAATCTCACTTGTAGGTTCTTTTCTAGTACTTGCTCCAAAGGACACTGTTTCCTTAAAATCCAGCTGGAACTCAACAGAATACTTTTTCAGATCTTTTTCCATGCTGGCATTAGAGGTTTTCAATTTGGATGACTCTAGATCATATTTTATTTCACCTTCCTTAATTGTCATGGCTCTTCTGGGCTTCTCCAGTGCTTTTCTTGGGCAAGAAGCACCAATTTGGCTAATCTTCTTTTCCACTTCATCATATCTGCATTCAGTGCAGACCTTTTCCTTCCTCGCTTCATCAGAGGTCATTCTGCGCTGAGTAGCCACAAACTCATAAATCTCCTCTAGTTCCTGCTCATTCATACTGTCATTGATTTCATCTCTGCATACAAATTTTGCTGCGGTTTCTTCATCTTGCCACATGGATTTCAAAAGTTCCTCAAAATTTCCAACTTTGTCTTTATCATCCACTGGCTTTTCTACAGATATCTCTTCACTAGATTGGCCTTCACACAGAACCGCCAATTCTTTCACTCCAAACCTGCAACCATGCAAATATACATAAATATTCTTTCTTCTCTCTTGGTACAACCCATGGCATAAGATAATAGAATCCTTATTCATGCTTCATACAGCAAACCAAAATGAGCTCTGTTCAAAACTGTCATACAGTAAATTTCATAATGATTTCCAACCAACTAAATACTCTGAAGCATCAACACACCAACCTTATTGCCAGGTCAACCACATCTGACAGCAAATGTTGAGGTACAAAATGTTCAGCTGTGTAAAGGTACTTCAAGAACAGAGCAACAGCATCCCCTGGAGCATCATGTAACAGCACACGGGAGGCTCTGACTTCTCCTTCTTCAGCCACCACAAAACATCTGTGGTCAACCTGGTAGCAGAACAGAAAAAGACAATGATCTTTGCAGCAGCAATCGTAATCCAAGGCTCCTTCCCTTCTTCTTACAAACTTTCCTGACCAGATATGGAAGTTGTTCTGTACTGCAGACATTCAAAAGCATTAGGCTTTCTGCCATCATAAAAATGGTTTCTAGATATGGCAAAGTTTGCCAGTCAAAAGGTCTCGTGCCTCAGCAGTTATAAACACATTTGTATTTTTTTCAATATAACAATACCAACTTCACTGTCCCATAAGTTATCCAAAGTCCCCTTGTTCCCTTCCACCAATTAGATTTGTAATTTTCTTCAAGCTCTTCCACTTGATGCACCCTTTTTTCTGCTTACAGCCTATATCTTGTTGAACTGACTTCATTTTGCACTTGTCTATTGTAAGGCATAGCTGGTTGCTGCTCACAGGAATAAACGTTGTAAGATCTCTGGTGAATCCTGCTGCCTACAGCCACTCTTCAAAGTTTGGTTTATTTGCTGCAGTTCTCTATAACTCACAAGTGAAATAGCTGGTTTGTCCCTCACTGGCATTTCTCTCTATTAGAATCAACCTCAAGAGAAAATTTAGAGAAAAAACAATGGAAGAGGTCCACAAATGTGGATCCATAATAAAACTCAAGCATGAAAAATGTTAAAATGTTTACTGTGTGCAGCCCTTAAACACATTATGGCTACTTACAAATTGTAAAAGCTGAGGACACCGTGCATACAATACAAACATATGGGCATAGAAGACTTCCCCACTGTCCACCTGGATCTGGATATCGCTCAGATGAGGATTATTGACCATCTCCTTGAAGGCAACAGCCAGTGAGCCAAGAGGGAACTATAACAGGAAGTAAGAAAGGGGAAAAAATACTCAAGTTCCTATTTCACAGCCCTTAAGCAGATAGAAGATATTAAATTTCTCATTAAAAAGTGAAGTCTTCCATTTAAAAGGAAGGTTTGCGAAAAGGACTGCCAGCAAGTCACACCCCAGCTTAATCCCAGTATCTTCCAGAAGTTCTCTATTTGGCAAAAGGAAATGAAGGCATTTTTCATTACATAGAGATCCAGTTACTCCTTTGTCCCTATTATGATACTGCTGCCAAGCAACTGTAGAGCTTGATGTACTGAGTTTGGGTAGATGCTCAGTATCATTCCTCATCTAGATACAATTGCATACAATTCTGTCCTTACTTTTTCATAAGAGCAATTTTGGAATAGTTGCTGCTGCTGCTGCTGCTGCTGCTGCTGCTTCTCCAATAACCGAGTAAAAGCCTTTTGCTGAACACCTGGCATCTGTTCTTGCTCTACAAAAAATCATCACCATCATCATTAATGTAAACCTGGTGCAGAATATCATCACTGTTACAGGTGAGTACAAATCAAATATGTTGGCTATATCCTTGCTCCGATACCACTGATGCCTTCAAGGGGGGTAAGGTCTAGCAGAGAATAACATCTTCTTTTTAAAGCAAGACAATTCTGCCATGGAACCACGGCTCCAAAAAGAAAGACTTCTGGCTGAGACATTTTATCTTCTATGACGCTAATTCCAATAGCCTCCCAGCAGTTTACAAAAGGTAAAACAAAATTGAAAATATTGCATTGCTTCCATCAAGATCCAGGGACGCTGCCACCCTTATAGGTCTTTACAGCCCTCTGAATACCCAGTCCGGGAGAGGGGGATTGAACTGTCCTACGCCAAGCAGCCTCACCCGGGGGCTCCGGCCGCCCAATATCAAGGCTCCACTGGGTGAACGTGAGTCCTTCCCCGGCCAACTCCACGAGATCTTGCAAGGTATCGGCATCCCTCGGACGGCCGCCTTCAAAGCATTCACCGGCTCTGCTTGGGAAACGCTCCGTCTCCGGAGACTCCGTTGGGGCACCAGGCGCGCGGAACTCCGGCCTCTGAAAAGGGAGGCTCCGTGGCAGCCCGGCCGAGACCAAGTCGGCATGCAGGACCGGCCAAGCGCCCGGGCTGAAGTCCTCAACCTGGGCCGCAGGGAGACGAACGTGGCCTCGGGACGGTCCGGGGTCTCTCCAGGGACAGAAACGCCGCAAAAGCGCGACGGCTCAGCTGCCCCGGATGGAAAGGGAGGGTCCCGCAGCCTTCCCCGGAGAAGAGCCCTCCGCTTCCCCGCAGCCACGCACCTGATTGGCCCCCCAAGGGGTGACGGCCGGGGCGCCCGTCAACGAGCTCAACTCCCACAGCCGGCCGGCCGGGCTTGCCGCCGGGCCCCCGTCCCAACGGCTGGCGGGCAGCGGGGGCGTGCGGGGCGCGGCCGGGGCCTCCGAGAGCAGCAGGGCCGCTCGGGCCTCGAGTCCTCGGCGGGCCTCGTCCGGCCTTTGGAGCAGCAGCGGAGGCGGCCTCCCGCGGCCCCTCGTCTCTAGGCGGAGAGCAGGCGGCAGTCAGCGCTTTCTCGGCGGAGGCGCCGCCCCCCCCCGGCCCGCCCGCCTCACCTTGGGCCGCTTCCCGCCGACCCTTGGGCCGCTTCCCGCCGAGCCCGACCTCCGAGCGCGACCTGGCCGCGGCCTCCAGCGTCTCCCCGCCCGCCGCCCGCCGCCTCTTCCCCCCGGCCGGCCGAGCCGTCGAAGGGGCGCCGCCCCGCTTTAGCCCGCGGCCCGGCGGGAGGGGTGGAGGCCCGGGAGCAGCGGGTGTGCCTGTCCTGCGAGGCCGCCGCCGCCCCGGCGGAATCCGCAGGCGAAACTCGTCCTCCGAGTCGCCCATTTTGTCGGCGCAGCAGCGCAGGCTCCGCCTTCCCGTCGCCGCGCGAGCGCCCCCTGCTGCCTGGCGGCCTTCGCTGCCGCAGCTCCGCACCGGAACAGAAGGCGGCGCAAAGCAGCAGAAGCGTCTACCATTTTTATTGCATATTTTATCCGAGACAGTTGTACAACCTTCCACTGCCCCAGGCCGCCCCATCTGGGAACCCCGGGCAGAGAGGTGACGAAGGCAGCCCAAGGAGGCCACTGAGCTTCTAGCACTGGGGCTGGTTCAGTGCTTCTCCAGGGCCCGGGCAAGCAGTTCGTTCAGCCGGTTCACCATCGGCCGGGGGTCTTCGCTGAGTCCTGCCGTTATCATGGCATTGTCATAGATCTGCAGCCAAAGGAGGAGCCAGAGGTGGTCACGTCGCCCAGGCAGTGGACTCCGAACACAGCCAGAAAGCACAGGGCTGGGGGGTCCTGCCCTCAAACAGGAGGGCAGAGAGGAGGCACTCAGATTCTCCTTTGCCCACTGGGGGCAGCAGGGAGACCTGGCCCTGTTCCAGCTCGCTTGGCTCTTCCCAACTCGCTCACCTCAATGTGCCAGCAGTATCTAAGACAACTATTTCAGCTAATTGAAAAGCTATCCTTTCTTATTTTCTGCCCTTTTATTTTTTTCATTCTGGAAGAAAAATGTGTTTCAGCAGCCAGGGTGGTGCATCAAGGATGCTGCTAGCACATGGATGGGCTCACACCCACCTACTTGACACAAGTATGAAGGACAAGATAGGGGTAGAAATGAATCTCCTCCCAACACAAAGCAGCTCTACCTCAAAATTAATAATTAGCAAGAAGGGAATTGATGTTTGTATTTACATTCACTCGAGAAAAAGGAATTACAAGAGAGTAAGCAGGCACATTTAAGCAGGAAATAGCAATAGCACTTAAGACTTATATACCGCTTCACAATGTTTTACAGCCCACTCTAAGTGGTTTATGGAGTCAGCATGTTGCCCCCAACAACCTGGGTCCTCATTTTACCAACCTCAGAAGAATGGAAGGCTGAGTCAGCCTTGGGCACCTCAGGGTTGAACTCCTGGCAGTGAGCAGTGAGTTAGCCTGCAATATTGCATTCTAACCACTGGGCTACCAGGGCTCATCAAAAGAAATGTGGTTGCACCACTCCTTTAAGCCAGAGGTCCCCAACCTATGGGCCGCAGCCCACTACCGGGCAATGCAACTCACCTGGTCAAGCAGCATTTGGGCCAAGTCAGGATGGTCAATTCGTAACTGGTTAAGTTTCTTGACTAGTGTGTGTCTAGAGAAGAAAGTGGCAGGGTAAGAGCTGCAGGCCAGGAAGGAGAAGAGCCTTCCCTAAGAGAGGTCTCCAAAATCAGCCTTAGTCCCCCAGATGACTTCTTCCTCATACCCGGCATTGATCTCCAACGTGGGTTGCAGGATTTGGGCTCGCTCTTCACTGGTCTTTGCCAGCTGCTGCATGCGCAGGAAGTGGCGGGCAGCACCCATCTCCAACACTGTGATCATGGCTGGATGTGAATCCAAACGTGGAGTCACCTGTAGGCAACAACACCTTGGGACATGTTTTGCACCCCAGAAGCTGCCAAGCTCACACCAATAACCTTCTTCCATAAGCCTGCTGACTCTAGGCCGCTCACTCCTCCCCTTGCCCTTGTGGCATTTCACATGCTGAATTGTAATTGATCACAATCACAATTGTGATCAATTGATCACAATCACCAACAGAAATGTCCATTAAGCCCAGGTATTAGTGATCTGAAATGGGGACAGAGCTCAAGTAGGACTCGGCAATAAGACTCCGTCTGCAAGGAGTGCTTGAAGCAACTTGGGAACGAGGATGGTTGCTGTGGATGTGCAACAAATGCAGCAATGGAGGTGAGGAGTCTGTCCAGGGATGCTAGGCATAGGAGCCACCCTTTCTCCATGCTCTTCGTCCCACTGGGGTTAC